GTTGACGCACAACTTTAGATGGGTTTGGTGGTACTTTGTAGATCACCTTGAATGCGTTCTCGTTTGCATGATGACCCGTGACTGCAAATGTGTTCTGTCAATGCACTTGTAATCGTTTTCCTTATCCCTGTACTCAGCCACGCCGGCTCCTTGATTCTTTGCAACAATTGCCTGATCGTTCTTGCTACATAACTTGCCGAACATGAGCAAAGAGAATAGTAAATGATCATAGATGAGGAGAGGATAGGTATCTTTAGGCTTCACAGAGACCATTCTTCGGCTTGTGAAATGAGTACGTATAGTTGCAGCAGGGAAAGACCGATGGTCTTTTCCAGTCGGCGTCTTAGTAATCTCATAATCTCCTTTAAAAGGAAGTCTTAAGAAGAGCTCAATTCTTTTAACTGTTGCCAGTGGATCTCCCTGAGGCCGTTCTGTCAAATTCGCAGAACGAATCCTTCCGAATAACCGTCGTGAAACAGTGTTTGTTTTATACTTTCCACTTTCTCCGGTAAATAGTCTGCTGCAAAGATTCTCTTTGGGGGATACGCACGGGTTTCTCTTGATTTTCAAAGGCACAAAGCTGGCAAAATTTGAATATTGCCTGGTCCAAGTCGGTTTGCGGTAAACGTTTTATCACTCTTCCGTGGCATCTTGTGAGTTTTATATTCAGGAAATGAAAATTATTCCCCAGTTTCAATTCGGACGTGAAACTGATGGCGGTGTGAGTATTATTGAAAGTATTTAAAACTGGATCAATGTGCCTTCGTCTTTCACTCAGGATGAAAATATTATCCACATAATTACAGTAGAGTGGCAAGCTTCTTATTGTGTTTTGTAAGACCCCATTTTCCAGTTGGCAACAAGTATATCAGCTAATAGAGGTCCAAGAGCTGATACCATAGCGACCCCCATCTGTTTGACGATAGATATCTTCATTAACGCTGAGGATTGTGCGTGAAGGTGAAATCTGAAGGATAGTAAGTCAAATCAATCAATATGTACATAGTTATTGGTTGGGTATGAAATTCTGTCATTGTTATTCCCTAACACACCTATCTGTTTCTCGATCACCGATAGCATTGATTAATATGCATCAGTTGACACCCAAGCCGATCCGAATTTGACCTTTGTCACTCACCTGCTGCCTCCGCGTTCATAGCGGGTCAACATGGTCGGTCGCAGTATGTCTAGGAATGGCACACCATGTGCAACACAAGGATTAAGGTTAGGTGGTTTGATAACGTGCGGGAAGGACGCCAAGCAGAGCATTGTCTGTAATCATTGTTTCAAGTACTTTTGTCCGTCGTACGCAAAGC